ATCTCTCGACAAGGCCTCACATTCCTACCATTTGCAGGTTACCGGGCAACGCCCCAACTCCGGCCAGCGTCGTTTTGGCATCGGCATACCAGGGGCACAGAACAAAACAACTATGTAGATAGCAGCCTGGATTCGACCATCTCCGAAATCCTATCCCGACTGAGGAGGAAGGCCAAATGCTGCCAAGAATTACAGAACACAGAAAGCTGGATATAACATGATTGATTTTTTACTTTTATTTTTTCGTGAATATCATAAATGAACATGGAAACCCCCCCCCTACCCACCATCTTTCCCCCTGTCCCGTCGCTACCTCCGCCGAAAAAAGAATATCCTAATTACAAGCCTTCCTTATCGGCCCCAGCTAAGAACAGTCCCACACCCTCCCCAGCAACCCCCAGAGGCATTCAAATCCCACCCAAAGTATGCCTCTGCTTACCCCTTACCCTAATCTGCCCCCGCTGAGGTTTGAAATCTCCCATCAACCCCAGAATAGAGTATTCCTCACAAATATGCTGATACCCCCTTCAGGGCCTCACTACCCACCTTGTGCAACCCCTGCAGAGCAAAGCTCACCTCCCCCTCCAACCAACCTACCCATTTTTGGAAAATAATTCAAAAGACTAACAGGAGAACACCAGAATTACTGGTTGAACTGATTGCACGAGAGATATAAATACCGGATTTTTTAAAATAACAATTACAAATAAAAATACAATCATGGGAAATGTTGTGGAGTTCCACGACAGCATCAGGCGTGAAACGCCTGAACTCAGATTAAAAAGATGAAGGACTAATGAATTAGAAATTGATTAACTAGAGATTTTTAGGTATTAAAAATAACATTCAGATTGGTCTATCGTGAAGAGCCAACATTTAAGGTACGGATGATCAGGCAAAATTTGGGAAATTATCAGGATTTTAGTTGGGATTTTAATTAGAGATGATAATTACGATAATTTCGATAACATTTGAGAATATAGTTCAGACATATAAGTGATTAAGAATAAAACAAAAGAAGAGAATTAAATAGGAGTAAAATCATGGTTGTTCCGGACCCGGACAACCGGACAACCGGACACGGACACCAGATCCGTGTCTGGATCGAACCGGACGTCCGGTTAACCGGACATCAAACCGGACATCCGGACATCCGGACCCAGACAGTCCGGTTTGATGTGTCGATATCCGGTTGTCCAGATTGAAAAAAAAAAAA